GAAAACCTCATATAATCATCAAATGCGATTTTTTGAACTAAGTTCGAGTCCATTTATTGCAGTTATGGCCATTGCATCGTGCAAGGAATGTGAATATTTAACGACAATAAGCTGACTTGGAGAGTTTCCCGAGCTATCACATGAGCTTGTATCTTTTCTCCTGGACTCCCGTAACTCCCATTTGAATCTCTATAATTGTATGAAGTGGCATCTGCATATTAAAACATCCAAACGTGTTTCCACAGTTTGAATTGAGAAAAAAATGCAGCATTCTTATGTTGTCAACTAGCAATATAAATAGCGGCCTCTATTAAGCAGTAATATAGTGAGAATTTTGCTCGACTGGCATTAAATGCCCTGTATTCATATTGTGTTGTCTCATCCTGTTCACAACCCAGGCCATGGAGTGCAAATTGTAAAGTCTTAAAATATATTGCAGCATATATTACACAAATATGCAAAATGATGTTTTGAAGATTTCAATTCCAATTGAAAGCTAACATGTACCTAGTCCTAAGTTAATTCTAAGATCTATATAAAAATTATTCCATTTAAACAATATTTACCATGGGTACATTACCTCTATGTGAGGAACCTCTTTCAACGGCCTATCCGCAAAATAAGCATACAAAGCCCTCAAAACAGCCTAGAATTAAAATTGAAAATTGAAAATTAAAAAATTGGCATGCACATAATGCATTCTGAGAGAAAAATAAATTATGGGTTTAACTGTATGACCTGATGAGATATCACAACAACAGGAGCTCTTTGTCGTTCAAGCTCAATAATCACAGGTTCTAGCCTGAAACGAGAAGCATGGTAGGTACGGTAAATACACAACAGGCATTTTTCTGGTACAAACACCTCAATAAGACAGCAGACCACAAACCTTTGTATAACATCAAGGTATGATTCTCCACGAGGGTATCTATACCTTAATTTGTCCTTTTTACGAGATCTGTGATTGCAGAATAGAACTAAACTTAGCAGATGTGAACTAACATGTACTTTGTCAGCACTGAGTGCAAAAGTTAATCAAAGAAAGCACTGTAAATTTCTGTGTCAAAAAAGTAGAAACAACAGCAATTTACAGTTAAACAAAAACATTGGAAACAGGTGACTTAAGGAGAAAAGACAGTGATCAAGAACATAACACATGAAGAATGTATGATTACTATCAGGGTCATATGATAGATATATAAATTCAAGCAAATTTGCACATTTAAGAATGGAATTTCATACTCATCCATCATCTTCTATCTAGCATCTGTAATGCAAATAGAAATTGAGGCATAAGGAAAATGTATCTTGGCAAGAGCATTTTCTGCTCTAAACAACTGTTTCGGAAGAAAATTCATGTAGTTGATAGAGAAGGTTTAACTTCCAGTGGATGATGAAAAAATGATCAGGAAGATCTCGACACCATTGAGAAGACAAGAACATAAATTGGAGATCCTAAGCTCCAGTATCATAGGAATCTAAGTATGATTATCATTATCTATTTACTTATGATAGTAATTGCAATAAATTAGGCTTCAGATCATTAGGATTGGTAGGAAAAAGTTAATAATTTTTCCCTTTAGGTTTGGCAGATAGTATGACTTTTGCTCCTTTCTCTTTTGCTCCAATCTCTTCCTTCTGTTTTGAGCCCTTTATGTGTTTCTCTTACCATTGGTTCTCTTGGGTTTCATCTCTAGCCTACCCCAACTTGCTTGGGACTAAAAGGCTATGTTGTTGTTGTTGTTGTTGTTGTTGTTTGGCAGATAGTATGAACTGGGAAGTGGAGTTATCTTCAATTGGCTCTTAACTCAATCTGTGTTGATGGAAATGTTTGTTTCTCATGTATAACTATAGTAACCATCTTTCAGTATTTTCAAGAGGGTCAAAATTTCTATATGAGGATGTAGGAGAAGTATGTGTAGAGGTATAAAGTCAAAAACTTAAACATAACTTTTAAGCAAATGGTCAATGATGAAGAGGTAAAGCATGCTCGACTAATCCATTGAAAAACGATCATGGCAAATAACTGGAGACACTCATGAGATATGCAGTATAGTGTTTTCAGGTTATGATGCATCAAATAGTTCAAAAACAGAATAAAGAGAGTAACCATGGAACTGAAGCATACTCATATTCCTCTGGCATATTTTTCTTTATTTCTTCATATGTCATCCCATCACATACACCGGCATTAATTTCATCAAGTGCCCGCCATTGTATCTTCCAAAGATTACATACAGAATTCAGCTCAGAAAATTAACAATAGCTAATGATTGGACATTGTACTGTTAAGTTACATTGAAAAACCTTTGGAAATCCAACTATTGGACTTGCTGTCAAAATTGTTCTCTGCAATGTGCTAGTCCATATCTATGACACAGGAAAAACAGACATGTTGAACTAAGTAGATATTTTTTTACGCATAGTACATAGTGTTCTGTAATAACATTTTAACTTTATTCAGAAATTTTGCACACGCTTAACAGTGACACAATATAACTGACAAACAGATCAGCAATTTTTATGGTAAAGACTATTCAGAGCCATCATATATTTTAGCAGTAACAATATAATGCTGACTCCTTATCCCATTACTTACAAAGAGAAAGAAAGGTAACAATAATAATCGAGATATAGTTCTGTAGAAGAGAATTCAGTGGTGTAAGTGTAACACACGCTCTCATACACAGAAGGAAAGACCCCACAGAGAATATTGAATATAAAAAAGGTACTCTTAGTTCCAAAAGCTAATGTACTTGGTTTCTGTACTTGTAATTAGAAGCACAATTATTTGAAGCTGGTGAGTTAAAAAAAAAAATAAAAAAAAAATAAGAACACCCTCACAAAGGATATTGAATATTAAAAGGTGCTTTTTTGTCTCCAGAGTAGGTCTACAAAGGACTTTTTTTACATTCCTGATAGGTGTAATTATAAAGATCCATAATATATAAAATGTGGCTATTCTGTTTACTTTCAAGCTATTAAACCAAAGATCGATGAATAAAACCACCATTAAGAATTTCAAATTTTGACCAAAAACAACCAAAAGCCAATATGCTATAAAAAAACGTTATGCCCAAGAAAGTAATTGGTAATATTTTGTTAAACTGCACAAAAGGACCACATTCTGACATCTTAAATTTTGATAATGCTTCAGAATAACATGGGTAATCAAATGGAAAAAAGGACTTCAACAAGACTCCATTACTACAGCCAACATTGTACCCCCTTTAATTGTAAAAGTATCTCTGCAAAGCGAAGCTCGGATCAAGGTTAGAAAAACCTTGGAAAAGCATAAACTAAATCTCATCGCACATCACTGAATCAAATAAACTTACAGAAGCAGCTTTTTCGTTCTTCAGACGCTTTTCAACAAAGTTTGCAAGTTTCTTCGCATAAAGCTCACCAGAATCACTGATAAAAGAGATTAAAAATTTAGAAAATTAAACTATAAAGATGATAGGACCACATCAATATACCCACCTTTAGAAAATAGACCTTAATACTTCTCTCCATCAGTATCCAGAACAAACTACAAATACATTGATAATTCAAATGGAAGTTTTCTGCTATATACTACTATGCTGGAAAGAAAGGGAAAGGACGAGTCCACCCTATTTTGGTCCATTTCTCTGAATTTTCAACATGAGCAGATTGGCTTGTTATACTACGATAAACTTTTGATGGTGATATTAATTTTAGGCAAAGTTTGTTATTGGTTTCACTGGCATATACTCTCATGGAAAGCAAAGAGACAAGAACCTAATATATGCTAATTCATTATTCAGATAGTAAATCAAATATGGCTTATATATAATTCTGAGAGTAAGCAAAACACATAGACAATATCTTCACATTCCACAGAGAACCTTATCACACTGTCACCACCAATTCGACCTCTGACATTGGCTCGGCTCTCTCCGTGCCTGGTTAGCAAAATTGGGCGAGGAGTCAGATGTGTATTTACCTGCAAATAATAGGTCTTAGTTATAACACACATCTCATATCACAATTTAATGCTGTATCTTTGTCTTCCACTTCCTATATTTTTATCTCATTTCTACAGGAATCTTAACAGAACTCAGTCAGAAACTTTTCCTTTTATCATGATTCTGAAGTACCAGAAACTAACACCCCGACAAAGTTACAGCTACAAGAATTAGCATTCAGAAAAGGAAAGTCTGCAGAAGCTACAAGAATAGGATTGCAGTTGGAATACATGTATATTTCTAACATAAGGGCTACGAATTAGTGGGGTAAAGAATGACGAAATGTATGGTACAAGAAAGATATTTGTAGTGTATATATTTTCTGACATAAACATAATTCTAAGCCAATGGGAAGCACCCTTAATTTAGTTAAATAAAAAGTTACAAAAGAAAATCAGAAAACGTAGTTACCAGGAAGAACACAATCCGTCCAGGAAGGTACCCACTAATGTTGTTCACCTGTTGCACAAAACACAATACCATTCACAGCATCACATCGATTAAGATTGAATTTTCAATATATACACCAGCTGTACATCTTTATTCTGCTACTGTATTGGGATTGCAATGGGAGAAGAAGGAAAGCAAGGCAATGCGACAAACTCAAGGAATGGTTGCACAATAGGTCATCAAATTGTAACATCAATTTCTGTATATGGCCAAATAAACAGATAACAAATGAAATGATGAGATAGATGTAATAAAAATGAAAGAGGATTTACTTGTATCTGTCCACCATGGCCACTGACCATATCAATCATTTTGATATAAGAGCCTTCTTCCACGGGTTCATAAACCTGAATAAAAAGGAATTTACCCAGACCTAATTATTCTCAACAGCAGTCTACATGTAACATTATCAGTAATGAAGAGTCTAAAGAATGTCCATGAGGTACCTTTTCATAATTATCCAGTCTGACTTTAAAGTCATGATAACCTGCCTCAAAATCTGGCCTGAAATGTTCCACAAATCATATTTTGATATTACAGGGTACTAAAATGATGCAAAATCTTCTTGCAACATACTCTTCAGCATAGTCCGGGCTTTGTTGAACCTTCAGACGTATATTTCTTTCAATTATTTTCCGATCATTGCATATTGTCTCTAAAAAGATGATCTGTAAATATTCATTCATCCTGGGTCAGAAATCTAGGAAAAAATTAAACTTACAGCATAGCACATTTTGCCGAATCTGCAGAGCCACATATAGGTATCTTTAGTAAAAGCCTAGAAGACAAAAATCAAAGCAGTTCATGCGAAAACTTCATCCACGCTTCTGGACCACCAAAAGTTCATTTACGTATACCCTGCATATAGCTGCTTTCGTCAAAGTGAACTGCATAAAACTCCTTCATGAACAGGATACTATGATGACGCATAAGTTCACTCAGGCAGCATACATACTTCGATGCCATTTTTGCCAATGTCAATTAAATTGTTTAGATTGAACTACTTGAAAGTTTAGGACTTTCCTTTATGGATGATATTGCTAATAAAATTTAGGAGAGCTTGATTTAGACGTTTTTTCAGGTCGAATTACATATATTGAAATATTACAGAACTTCAATGCTGATATGAAATTCGATCACGAGGATCTGAACCCCATAACTAATATAATGTCAAAGTCTTTTGTCCGCTCATAGCTAATCTTTTGTCCATGCGGGAGAAGGCCAAAATCATCCTCAAATTCCATGCTATCAATATCACGCAAACCCAAGAAGAAGTGAAGAACACAGATAAACTAATAAGAGAACACAAAATTACTCGGCCTCTCCCTATCTCATGCAGAGGCAAGGTCAAGATTGTAATCTTGATCTACAAGAACAACAGTTTCTCCCAACTTATAGGCGCTAGTCTCATTCTAGATTACTTCCGCTCTTTCAGGGTTCATGCTTTGATGGATAAGTGGCTCCAACAGAAACATTTTTCATATAATAACATTCAAAAGGATCAAAGCACAAAAAATATAAAATGAACAGATCAACCAAAACTTTGCACTGTACCTTGCATTTGCCTTCAGCCATTCTCATAAGCATATTCCTCCTACTTCTGGTACTGTTTGTAGCATCAAATATCCCAACCTAAACATAACTAGAATACATTATGATGTTATCAGATAAATGCACACACTAACTAAATCAAATAACATACCTGGCCACCCTCGTGCATCCAAGCTATCATATCCTCCATTGCAAGCGCTGCTACCTAGTAGCATGTCATGAATTAAAACTATTTGCAACGAAAAAGGTTTATAATACAGTCACAAATTACAATAAAGAAAGAAGAAAAAAAGTACCCACAAAATTGCACATAGTATACTTCCATTTCGAAGAAAATGAAACCATTAGCCAGTAAAACAATCAAGCACAATCACACTTCTGTTATCAACAATATATTTTTATCTTTTCATCCATAAACATAAAATATGGTACTTGTCATGACATCACTGCAGTTTAGACAAATTTGATGGTATATTTGCACATCAAAGAAAGCCGTTGTGCTCTTTCATACAGCAAAATACATATCATGTAGCGATTTTGCATAGAACTAAAAGGGAGTTTACTCTTGGGCTGGTTCCAGCGGTAGCATTGAAACGATTGAGAGCTTTACTGCTATAAACCATTGTTTCTAGCAAGTATTCTCAGGCAAAACAATGTACATCCTGGGTCGAACCCAGTTACGACAGGACAAGCTTATATTTCAGATACACAACTGAGACATGATTTACTTTAATGGGCAAGTATTTTGGCTAATGGCACGCAGTAAATATAGTAAACACTTAGCACCGATTGGAACATATATGGAAAGGTGAGGGACATGATTGTCATCCCCCATACAGTGAGAGAATAAGAAGAAACATACTATGTAATGATTCTTGAATCTTCATTTTACAAGGGTTGCGAGGGGGAAGTAAACAACTGGTATCTGGCTTTGAACGTTGTTTTATAGTAAAATTGTGAGAGATTGAAGTGAATTGAAGCTAATACTTGGAAACAAAATCATAGTTATGGAAGTTCCAAATGCGAGTTGTAGAAATAACTAATAAGTATGGAATGGGAGACTAAGCTGAATTCTAAATAAGTACTCTCTGGTCATAAATTTTCAAGATAACATACTCCAAAGATAAAATTACATGGCTAATGCGAGATATGTAACAATATTCTGAAAATATATAATCAAGTCTTACACACGAAAGCCACAAAACACTACTGGAAAGAGTTCATTCTAGAGAATTTTTGCAATTGTAATGGAAAAGGCACCTCGTTTCGTGCTTCTATGCCTTCAGCGTTGTCACCTCGGAAGAAATCAGCTGACTGCATCAGAAAGGTAATGACACTTTTAGATAAATGATAATTCAGTTTCATGGAGAATAGTAGGAACAAGTAAAGGAATTCTCTGCAAATTTCGACTTCCTTATGGTATAATGGTACCAATTATCATATCATTATCTCGTAACCATAGCAGGTACTGGCAGTTCTACATGATCTTGGAAACATAAGTTTAATTGTAGTAGCTTCAACTTATATTTTATGGGAGCAGCCACAGGACAGCTTAGGTAGTTATACTTCCTAAATATAAAGGACAAAGTGAAGTGGACCAAATACAAAAAGATATTGAGGATCCTTACATTTTTTCATTGTTTTCCTTCCCTGTTCCCCTTAATATGGTGTTTAATTAATAGCACTTCTATAATTTTGTTATTACAAGGGGCCAGAGACAATAAAATTGACATCACTGCAGCTATTCTGAAAGACATTTATTTACAATGATTGTTTAGACATCTCAGTAGTTTACCATTTTAATCTGAATGAGTATAAACATGCCACGATATACTGAAAACAAAGGGTTGTTACACAAAACATGCCAATTAAAATTTACGCCTTTATCGGTAAACTAACTGATAAAAGGTCAGACTCTTGGAAACACTTCTAAAGGATGGTGAACAGGGCAAAATAAAGAAGTGCATCGATTCTTCACTTAACCAGAAGAGAGGTCAGTGTAGACTCATGAAAGTGTTCAGAATATAGTGTAGATAACTGGTTTCCTAAAAAGACCGTAGTTACTCAAGTGGTATCTCTTACTGTCTAAGGTGTTGATCAGCCCTAAACCTTTCAGTTTCTTTTATTCTTATTCCCTCCACTACACTACACCCACAAGTACTGTAAAAGAAACTGTTCCCAAAATGTTAACAATGACTAAATACGATAAGAGGAAGAAGTGATATTAACAACTGATAGTACCTGATTAACTCCATGCTTTAGTCTCCGATACTGCAACAGAAACACACAATAATGCAGCTTTCTTTTCTCAGGAAGAACCCAATGAAGGATTAAGACAAAATACAATGCAACAATGACTACCTTTCCAACATTGAAGTGTTTGGTGTCATGACCTAACCAACGAAGATACCTAGTAAGTTTAGCTGCAGTGAAGGTTTTTCCTCGTGCAGGCAATCCAACCTGCAGTAGACATATACGCAACCAGTCATATGTCACACCTTCTAGGTATTCTGAATAGTATTAAAGCAGCCTAATTAATAAGGATAACAGGAAGGACCTCTATTGACAATTATTTCAATTACAGAGAGTCAGCTAACTTGTAAAATTACAAAACCATTTTCCTAGCTTCAGATTTTAGAAACTACACCCTTAATGGGGGAACTATAAAGGAAATGCAAAGCTTACGGGATGATTGTTATTTTAATGGGTAATTAAATCCGGAATAATAGTTATTCATAAGTAGGTTAAATCTCAAGAGCAATTTTTGCAATCATCTCTAAATGATATGTAATGTCAAAAAAGTTCTTATGAGCAAAAACATTAGAATAGAAAAAAACTTGTATCAAGTGTAAGTCAGTAAAAGGAAAGTACCAAGACAATTGCCAGATGTCTATCCTCTTTTGGTCCGAGCATCTGATCAGCTACCGCAGCAGCTGCAACAGCCCCTGCAGCTGCTGGCATAGAGTTCTAGAGAACACATTGAGAAATGAGGTTAGAGGTAAGCATATATCAGCACTCTAGAAAGTGGATAGTAAATAGTGAGGCTGCAATTGGATACGAGATTGATTTTTTTTTTTTTTTTTTCATTTTTTTTTTTTTTTTCATTTTTGTTTGTTCAACCATTTATCCCATGAAAAGAAAATGAACAAAAAAAATTCACAAAAAATACTATTAATTCCACCTAACTTTTTTCTCTATAAATCTCACTAACACACTTACAAAATAAAAAGCAATAATTATTGTATATTTTCCAACAGAAAACACTACTCATCGATTCACATACTTCTAATTGTCAATCACTATCAATCAATATTTTATTATTTTTACATCAAATCAAATTTAACCATTACATTTTTATCTCATATCCAATCACGATCTCAAATCTATCTCCCTTCTTCTGAGAACAAAATTTTCTACTTTTCCATCTCATTTTTTGAACAATACATTTTTTTTTCGAAAAAAATCTTATGGCCAATCGCAGCCTGAATGTACCCACAGACCTTTGACTCCGAATTAAGTTTCGGATCAACAGTGAACATTGATGCACTTGCCGATTTCACAAGTCTGGGAGATCCAACCCCCCGATCCACGAAGAGTCCTCTATGACCTTCTTGTTTCTGCATAGAGGAAATGGTTCCAACCGACTTTGACTCAGCCAAGCCAGATCCTAAAGACAGCTTTGTTGCATCTAATACAATGACTTCCATCCCCTGATAGAAGTTCATCACCACAGACCACAAAAAAGGGAAAACTCACATTGAGGTATCAATATATGAACATTGGACAGGATATAAAATAGAACCAAAAATCTGATAGAAATAATAAATAGGGACATTCCAAGGTTACAAGAGTGCACTCACAGTTCTATTATGGGTGTCATAAGCAATTACACGTTATATCAGTTTCAATTCCTCTATTTATATAAAAGCAAGCAATTGTCCTCCAAATCAGCAAGGTATGACCATGAAGTTATGTTGTCTTGACAAATGAACAAATGATCAGTTTCCTATGAGGATGGACATTCGTAGGAAAAATATCGATCCGGTCACTTCAATTGCAAGTGGAAGATTTTCGTTCCGAAGTACTCAACCTTCCTTAAATCTTTCAAGACCACTATATGCATGCCAAGTAGATATATCAAACATAAGGGATTTATTCCATCCTCACACCAGCATATGGATTATAAAGGAAAAAAGGCATTAAAAAATCACATCATCATATTTGAATAAAATGTAAATCAAAATGACAAATAAGATGAATGGCACCAGTACCTCGGGTCGGTCAACAGCAGCACCAGTATCTCTCTGTAAATGTAATGTGCCACTAGAGCCATCAGTCCTTGAAAATACCGCAACACGACTCAGTGACCTAGGAGTTTCCGTCATGTTAGCTGCATAAACAAGACCTGAATTTGCTGAGGTTGGAGCTGGGACAACATAGTGCTCAAGATCAAGCTCCAAACTTGCCGAAGATTCATTCTGCAACAGAAAGCATTAAAATGATATTAAGGAATTCAGAGACACGAGAATTCCATAGCAACTTAAAAAGGAAATAATATGATTTCACACTATATCCTTATTTACAATCTACAGAACAAGAAAAGTAGATGAAAGGACCCACATAATCATGGCATGTGCTACAACTACCTCATTACGGGCTTCAGCAGCTGAGTTTATACTGACGTCAGGTATCCCACGAACAGTGGAAGGCTGAAAATTCTCCTGATACGCTCTCCAACTAGCAGCAAGATCAAATGGTGAGACCCTGTCAGCTTTAATCAGTACTCCATACTCGAGAACATCCTCATTCAACTTAAACAGCGCACAACTTCTATCCCCGCGCAACGTACCCCGAGACAATTGCCTGTTTGGACCCTCCTCCACCACAAATGGGGAGTTACTATACTTGGGTTTTAACAAAAACTTGAAATCCAAAGTCTCTATTTAGACAGAGAGAGAGAGAGCTAAAGTCAGGGTTCCAATTCCACACGAATGAGGACACACAATATCATGACCAACAAAGGTGGAAGCTAATTACCGTGGTTAGGCGGAACAACAAAACTCAGTTCCCAAATAGACGTGGATTCTCGTTCCATCGACAGCTGAAGATTTAAAGAAACAATTTCATCAGTAAACGATATGAGCTCGTCAACAAAGCAATTTTCCTCAACGAATTAGAAAAACTGAAGGAAAAACCAAGCGAGCATCTAACAGAAAAATGCAGAAGAGCAATTGATGGTTAAACGTACGGCTTTGGAGGGGTCCCAGGACCCAACGAGGGGCGCGGAGCCATAGACGTGGGGAATGAGCTCCCCTTTGAGCCTATAGTTCTCCATCTTGAGAGACACGTAGAGCTGGCCGCCGGCTTGGTCCTCTCTCTCATCGCTGCCATGGGAGCTGCTGTCGGGGTTCTTGGATGCACCGGTTCCCATACTCTCTTCCTGAAAGGAGCGAGCACTCAGCGGCTCATTTGAAGTGGCGGAGTAGAGAATAAAATTGGCGATAAGAATGGAATATTAGCGGGGAAAGAAGGTCGGATATACTGCGCTTTTGCTTTCTGATCCTAACGCCATGAGTGTGGGCCATGGAGAGTTTGTTGAGCTTGTGTTGCAGTCAATATATGGGGCACTGTGTGGCGGACCGGGTTTCGGCATACCCGCACCGCTTTCGGCACCCGATAAATAAATAATTTTACTCGATTGGAGAAAGTATATTATTTTATTTATCTATAACTATATTTATACTAATATAAAAAAATTGTTGAAAAAATACATAAATATAATTTTGACTTTTAAATAAATGTTTGAATTACTATTATAAGAAATCTTTTTAAAAACACATGAGATTAAGAAAAAAAAGAGCAAATCAATTTCATATATTGTTTTTTAAGAAAAAAACGGATGCATATTTTAAAAATGGATATTACCATATTCCTTTTCTTTTTCTTAACTTTTCCAATCATTTGGTGAGTAAATTTCAAATTAATTTTCTTGGTAAAATTATCGGTGCAACTTTTCCAATGATTTGTTGAACAATCTCATTTTTCACACAATTTTGGCGAAGTAATATGCTGATCTATTACATAGAAAACTCGATTTTCAAAATGAGATTAGATTTTTGGTTAATTCCGATAAAATTTATTTCGTCAAAACGCGTGAATATACCATGATAATTTGTATTTTTGGTAACATTCTATTTGTGTTTTCGTCCAAAAAGTATTTAACAAAAATTGCAATTTCGTAGCAAATATTTTATTTTGAAACACCATAACATATTTTTTATGACATTTAATTAGGCAAATAGAATATTTATTTTTGAGTAAGAATAATTTCAATTTAAATAACGCATTAATACAGTCTAAACTGAGAATGTACAATAATATAAACAATAATTTGATATGGAAACACATCAATACAACTAAAATATAGAAAATTTGATCTTTATATTACATGGCAATATATCATTCCAATATTCACGATAAGTTAATGTGAATATGAAATAATATTATCAAATCTACTTATCTATTATTTTATGAGAAATTTAATTTATAAATATTAATAAATATTTCTTACTCGTGCATCGCACGGGATTCGTACTAGTATATATAATAAGAATTAACATATATCACTTTTAGTAAATTTTTCCCGCCACTTTTATTAATTACATGCTAAATATAGAATTTTTGAATAATTTGGGCAAAAAAATAGCTAACCATTAATTGTGAACCGATATGGAATCAAATGGTTTAATTGATTGGGGATGCAAATCCCACTTTTTATGGAATCAATTGCCGTATGACTCTGCCATTGTTTGGGAACTCAAATCCCATTTTTTTTTATAGAAATATAACCAATTTAATAATATAAAACTATAATTCTACTGAAAATATAAACCCTACTAATAAACATTCTTATTTAATTACAATAATATTTACAACATCTCATCTATATCTACATGGGAAATGCTCCCCTACCCACAGTGGGCACATGTTAATATGTGCACCGCTTATGTGACATGCACACATTGGTGATGTTAATATATTAAAAAAAATACATCACCAATGTTTGCATGCCACATAAGCGGTGGACATATTAACATGTGTCCACCGTGGGTAAGGGAGCATTTTCCATATGTATATATAATAAGAATAATTATTTACTAAAAATAGTAGTAAAATATTTTGGAAGCATTTAATGCATATATCTTTTTGAAAACTTTTTAAATATATGAATTAATTAGTTCTATATGCACTTTTTCAAATAAAATCAAATCATATATAATCAAAAATACTGGGTCCTTAAAAATTTTATTAACATCTGCAATAATTTCATTGATATTCATTTTAATAAATTACAAGATTGATTTTCCGTTATTCATATTGATAATATTTTTGTCATTATAAATATTACAACATATTTTAAATTCTAACCACAATATTTTTTTTCACAAATATTCACTTTTTATCCAAAAAAAAAATTTATAAAAATTCGTAACAGGTTAGGTAGATTTTTATCAGGTTAGGTAGATTTTTCTCTTCTAATTAATCAGGAGAAATCAAGTTGGTGAATTAACCTTTGTCAATATTTTGTTTCTTAAGCTTTATTTCGTTATATAAAAAAAAAATTATTCTTCAAATTGATATAATTTTCCATTTAAAAGATAATGACCAGATACATTAAATAGTTTTACTTAGTCAAAAATAAAAATAAAATATATTAACTACTCTTTAGAATTTATTTGTATATTATTGGCAACCATGATTATATTTTTTTTTACTTTAATTTGATTTCTTTGTATAATAAAATTACTATAATATATATTTTCATTGTAGAGTATGCTAAATAAACTATAAGTCCTTATAATGCAAATTAGAAAAATCTTGATTACAGAAGAGATTGAGTTTTTGGCATTTCCTAAATCAAAGTGGTTTAATTAGTATACAAAATTAAATTCTAAAAAAACATGTGTGTATATTTTGTAAATATTTGAACACTATTTAATTTTAGATTTATATATATATTTTAAATTAATTATATAAATAAATAACAATAACGTGCCTTGAATATTTTTCATTACATCAAATAATATGAAAAAGAAGAATTTCTATAACTTTTATAAATAAAAATGATATTATATGACAAAAAAAGTTTATAGTAAAATAATAATTAAGTATTATATCAAAAACAATAATAATCAAAATTGTTATTTTTTTCTCTTAGAATAAATATATATACTAAAATCAAATTTATATTATTATAAATGTATTAGTGAGATAATATATATTAATTATTTTATATATTAGCACTAACATGTTCATATTTAATGTTCTGGCTAAAAAAAACACAGATTAAAAGAGGTGAAAATACATTATATCCCTATTGTTTTTTATACTTAACGCTAATTAAAAGAGGTGAAAAATATATGATAATTCTATTGTTTTTTAGACTTAAACAGACAAAATATGCGAAATAACTAATTTAATATTTTTGTCCCGTGCATCGCACGGGGTACGTACTAGTCTATAGTAATAAAAAAAAGTTGTTACAAAATTTATTTTTTTTAGTAAGTTTGACTAAAAAGATAAATTTATTAACTTACTACTCAAAAAAAAAAAAATTAAAAAAAAGATGTGAATATTTTATTTTGAAACAACTGGAAATTTGAAGGGAATGTACCATTAAAATCATATCCATATTTTTGGAAACTAAAATCAGTTTCGTATCTGCATTTTGTTGTAACAAAATTGGTTCTGAATTTGATGTTTAATATTTAATGTAAAACCTTATCCAGAGACCATAGCACAATCGAGTCTCTCATTGATTTCGGCCCGCTCCCAAGTGAAGGGAGAACCATGGCATCCTGCGTTAACTCACCTGAAGGAAATCCCACATCTCCCCTAAATTGTCCAAACGACCATCAATGCACTCATCGGGATACAGAAAGATGTTGAAATCACCGCTAATCATCCACAGTCATGCATCCATACCCTCAGCAATCTCACGCATGGTGTCCCACAAACCGTAGTGCCCAACCCTTGCACAACTGGCATAAACCAAAGTGTGAAAGATGGGCTCATGGAGATGGGCAGCAGAAAGCTCGACGTGCAGCACTTGCAGTATCACGGATGACCCGACAAGTGTAGTCACGCGAGTAAAAGAACCAAATTTATTAGAAATGTTATCCATGCCAGAATGAAACCTAAGGCGACGTGATTAGAAGCCAAAAGAAGGGGTGGGGGTCATGGGCTCGAGAAAAGCGACGAAGTCGAGCTTATGAGTGCGGACAAGAGAATGGATGTGAGCAAGGGTGACCATATTCGTTAGGCCACAAACATTCCAAGTTAGGGAGATGACCGACATATCAAATGTCAGAGGTGGACGATATTCTCGAGCCCTGATATTTCTCCTCAGAGGCATTGTGCTCGCTAGAAGATGCCACATCACGGGAACTGTCGTCATGGAGGGGGATAGAATCATCGCTCACCAAAGTGTCGGGCTGGTCCTTCTCGTCGTCAAGAAGAATGTCGTCGTCAAGGGAGAGACTGGCCTGTCTCCTGATGGGCGAGAAGAGAAAAGATCGGCTCCGTCTAAAAAAAAAGACATCAAAGTATGAGTGAATGGCCTTAAAGGCCATCGGTAAAGTTTGGGGAGGGAAGAGGCCCGTGGACTCAGGCTTCTGCTCATCAATAACCTCCCTCTTGGGCCGGTTAGGCCGAGCAACCTTCCTAGCTTTGGCAGCGGTCTCGACAACGGTCTTATCCTTGTCCTTAGATCTCTTTGGGGTCTCAGGCGCACGGGCAGGGGCCTTGCCCTTCCCCTTGGGGTTCCTGAAGTAGCTGAGGGACCTGATCTAGTCGCATGGTAGCGCGGCGAATTAATCGACTAGATTAAAATGTTGATCAATCATCTAACCCTAGGATTAACACAACTCGCAAAGATTGAGCAATCAACATACACGTAAACGAAAACGAACCGGAACAATTATCCCCCAACCCAAGCAAACGAATTTAGCTACTCATCACGATTACAACACTAAAAATCACATCAAACAAAGCCATCATAATCATAATCAAATCAAGAAGAAATGCTTACGATTAATGTCGGTTCTAACCCTGTAATGATTCGTTTGGTTGGGCTGATATGATTAGACTGAATTAATATGAGATAGGTGGATTGTATTGTATGGATAAAATTAATATCGTATTGTATGTACGTTTGATATGCGGGATAAATTAATAATATAAATTTGTTTAAACTATTTTTCCTTTATCTCCTTCCTTTTGTCGTTCACTTTTTTTTTACTTATTTTTGTCACTGTCCTTCAACACTGCAAGTCTGCAACATTCATTTCTTCCCCACAAGTCTGCAAGACTTGAGCAACTAGCAGAACATAGTCGTACACAATAATTGGTGGAGGACGAATAGGATCAGGAATTCGATGAAGCCGAGGTAGCAACACAGATGAATAAGATTGCTGGAAGGAGTTAAGGTCAAGAGCTTGGACCAGACAGCGGAGGCGGAGGCAGTTAGGGATGCACACGAGTCGAGCGGCTCGCTAGCCGCTCGCGAGCGCTCGAGTCAAAGCTCGGCTCGAGCACGAACTCGAGCCCATATTTTACATTGTCAAGCTGCTCGCGAGCGGCTCGAGATATATGGTAAATTATTAAAATACCCCTTGTATATATATAATTTGACAAAAATTTTTGAAAATTTTCGAACCGAACTCGAGCTGAGCTTGAACATTTTGAATTCGAGTCGAGCTCGAGCTATTGTACTTTCTTATAGAGTCGAGCTCGAACCTAAAAAATAAAACTCGAGCAGCTAAAAAAAAAAATCAATCCTGCTCGATAAGGTCAATGCTCGACTTGGCTCGGGTCGTTTGCAGCCCTAGCGGCAGTAGAGTCGAACTGGAGCTGGGCGAGGATGGGGTGGGTGAAGAGCCAGTGGGCCACAATGGCAAATGAAAGGAGGAAAATTTAGGGTAGGGTTGTGAGACAGAAAGTCTTGAGAATTGTTTGGGGATTGAAATCGACACCTTCAGGATGACGACCATGCTTAAGAATTGAAGCTCTTCCGTCCGTATCCACGGTTGCAGGTGGATCAATTTATTTCTCGAGAATGATGAACTGAATGAAGAGATGGGATTGAACAGATCCGATGGGGATGGTGATGGAGAGAGAGGGAGAGGGAATATGACGAGAATGCGTCGTCGGAGTGGTGTTTGTTAGTTGTAGAGAAGAAAATTGTACCAACTCTCAAGGAAATAGAATAGAGGTGAAGGATAAATTAGTATTTTTTTTTTGTACAATAAAAGAGGACAAAGCCTAAAGCTCACGAAAGTGGTACTCGACGGGGATAAGCCACGCCGACAATATCATGTACTAGCCAATGACCGAGTTCCTTTGGCGGATTTAGAAGACGATGATAACCCACCGGGACATCAGCAGCAAGTGCCGCTAAAGTATCAGTTGAGAAATTTCCTTCCCCATGAATATAGGACAAACTAACCACCGAGTCCTGTCGGAGTAACTCTTACTCGTGGAAGTAGAGAGTAACAGTGTTGTATCTATGGATAAATTAGTATTTCGATCTTCATTAAAGGTTAGATAAAAAAATATCTTGCCTCCATCCCATTGTTCTAAAAATCGGCCTAGGCGGGCGCCTCCGATTTGTACAAATCGGCAGAAAAAATCGGCCAGGTGGCTAGGCGGGCCCTAGGCGCTCCTAGGCGGCCTTGGCGGGCTCGGCGGCCAGGCGGTTAGGCGGCGTCTAGGCGGGCGTAGGCGGACTTAGGCGCTCCTAGGCGAGTTCGGCGGCAATTTTTTAATTTTTTTTTATTTTTTTTTTAATTTTTTTAAATACTAATTATATTATTTTGTTCTCATGTTTTCTTTAATATATATTAATATTATTATTTGGAGTTTGGTGTGTGAATTTATTATATGTTGAGATAATTTTATTTTGTAGGTAGTTAAAATAAATAAAAAATAAGATATTTACTATTGATTTCTGGGTCCCGACTAGGCGCCGCCTAGGCCCTCTAGGCGCTAGGTACTGGTCGAGTGCCTAGCGGGCGCCCAGCGACTTTTAGAACACTACTCCACCTTAGGATTGAATTAGTCATTTAACAGATTTAGTCACGAGCCAAATGATTTTTGACGGGCCTCAATAGGGGCACCAAACATAGGATAATTGTGGGATTAGGAGTGTTATCCTGACCTACCCTACTTAGCAAAGGAGACCTAAAACCTAAAAGTACTCCACAGCAGCTGCTGAGGAAAAGAACACGTCGACAAGCATACGTGTCAGAACACCATTGGACGCTGATGTCGGAACTCCACAAGATTTAGTAACAACGGGACAGCCCATCTCATACTCTTCTGAGCTTCTCAAACAAGACTGAACCGAAGGGATCAAACAAACATCGATCCAAGAAGAAGATGGCGACCTGTAGGGGACTGCATATACTCTTCGCTCTGATACTCTTCACCATCTTAGCCCCCAATCAGGTTTTTCTTACAAGCGAATGTACAATTTTCCCTTTTTACTGTTTTTAATTTAGTGCTTTTTATACTATTTGTAATTTTTCAGCTCAATCTCTGCCTAGGTTTGTAGTATTTGTTCGATTCAGATCCCTAACCCTAATAAGCAATCGAGTAACTGATTTTTTTTTTTATTTATATCTCTGTTATTTTGTGTTGCGATTTTTTTTTCTCTCTCTATTTTTTTTGTTTATATATTCTTCTCCGTGAGTGGAACGAAATTGGAAAACAATGTCATGTAAAATACTCTGATGTCTACCTTGTTCTGACAATAGATTCCAACAGATCCCCACGTTTTCTTTTTCTATTTGACATAAGTATTCTCTCTCTTGCAGGCGAAGAAATCAAAGGAAGATTTGAAGACTGTGACGCATAAAGTTTTTTTCGATGTTGAGATTGATGGAAAACCTGCCGGTATGTCCTAATCTCCAAGAAGGCACTTTGTTAGCAAATGGGTTTGAGTTGTCTGACATAGTGTTACATAGTTTGATATGGAATGGCCTAAATAATCAGGCAAACTTACTTCTACTTAAAAGATACGTACTTTCACAATGAAATGTCATATTTTTGAATAACAATGTAAAGCAACTATATAATTGGTTATAGAAAGTATGAAGTTTCATTCATAACGTTTGATAGGTCAATATTGGCCCTCATAACCAACTTTCACCCGTTAGTTAGCCCGATAGACAACAGTTTTTTGTGATTGTGATGATGATATTTATTTGTCTCCGACCTTCTCTAGATAGAAAATATTGATAAATTACGAAATTGGTTATCACGAATCTTAGTTCTTAAAGGCGAGTTGCATTTACCATATGTAGCCAACTGCAATTAGTATGACAATTGTGACTCTTAATATTTTGGGAATTGCATTTTAAGCATGATTTTTGATGGGTTTTGGTAGAGTCAATAATATTGCATCTCTTTAGGGCTCGCTTGTGTACGAAATAATTTGTCCAAAATGAGTTATTTTGATTAACTTGAGTTCATTTTGAAAAAAGTAAGTATCGTAGTTGGGTTTTAAGAATGTATTAAAATAATATTTAAAATAAAATGATTAAAATTGATTTAATGTAAAAGTAGGAGATAAATGATTGGAAATGATAGGTAGTTAAAATTATGTGAGTGGATGAATAGTGAATTAAAGTTGATCGTAATGTGCAAGAATGATTGGTTTGTATGATTTAACTATATGAATAATATTAAAAATAGTGGGGTTGAGCTGAGTATGAATTGAATGAGAATGAAATAATTTATAAACAAGCATGCACTTAGTCTTTATGAGTAACAACTATTTGCAGATTGAACATTGAACATTGACAAATCCTCTCCGCTTTTGGCTGGCAGCAGCACAATTGTTCGTACAATAAGTTGTTCATTGAGATCATGAACTTTGGTTCATATTTGCATTTTTAAATTTTCAATGAGCCTTTTGGCTATTGTTGTGTATCATGCGGTATATTTTTATGTTATGCACAAAGGAAGATAAAATAGCATTCTCAACTTATGCTCATGTTCACATATAAACATACAAATGCTCGACGTCTTTACTTGTGATATTTAACATGAGAAGAATTTCATCTGTTTTAGGACGTATTGTCATGGGCCTCTTTGGAAAAACAGTTCCCAAGACAGTAGGTATGGTTTTATTGAATTTAAAAGCTTATACTCCTAACAGCTGTGATACCTTTTTAACTTACTTTCACTTTGTTTTCGCTTGCAGAAAATTTTAGAGCTTTGTGCACAGGTATAATCCCTTTCCTAGTTCTCTTGTTGGTTTGTTATGCCTTTATCTTGGTACAATGAAATTGTTTTGTATGATTTTGGTTGGATTTATGAATAATGGTTTTGACTCAGATATTGATTAGTTTTCACATGCAATTGGCACTAATGGCACTCTACGATTTTTTAGGGGAGAAAGGTATTGGTAAAAGTGGGAAGCCCCTGCATTACAAGGGAAGCACATTCCATAGAATTATTCCCAGCTTCATGATTCAAGGAGGTGACTTTACCCTCGGTGATGGAAGAGGTGGAGAATCAATTTATGGGGAAAAATTTGCCGATGAGAATTTCAAGATCAAGCATACCGGACCTGGTACTTGCTAATATCACCTATTTTTTCCCAAAACCAGGATACAAAAAAATGAAAGAACATGAAAAGGAGAAGGATGATTAGAAAAT